CATTCCTTTTATAGTCTTGAGAGAAGCCTAATTACCACCAGCTGAGTGCAATTATCTCCTGTAACTGCGTAACTGTTCCTTATGCCTATTAGCTCTCCGTTGTCTATTTTTCCACTTGCATTTTTACGTGCTTTCGAACTGCTTGGTTGGCAGAAGCTGGGACAAGTAACGGGAGCTCACTCTGTTACGCGGCACTAGGGATTCAAACCACTGAACTGTCAACCTTTCTGATCGACAAGCTCAGTGTCTTAGCCGCTGGGCCACCATGTTCCTTATGGTTAAGCTAAGAAGAAGTTTCTTGCCATTGGAGGAACTGTACATGCGAGAGAGAGAGGAGGAGGAGGGGGAAATGATGAAACCCTATAAATTGGCTTCAGTATTTTGGGTCTAAATGGACACAAATGGGCCAATTGCTAGCAATTCCCACAGTTTCACTTTGAGGCATTGGGGCATGATGTTAAATGTTTTGACAGCATATAGGCTGTCTAGGTTGATGGCTCTTAAGGCTCAAAGCAAATTGATGTATTCTGGATCAAGTTTCCAAATGCGGTTGACTTGAGTTCCCACCATCCTTTTGGCTAGGGAAGGCTTGGTACCTTCAGCACATCTCGATAGGAAAGAGAGCTCGCTTTGATTGATGGAGACTTCGGACAAGTTGTGTGGTTTTGAAACCACATTTTCTACAAAGATGTTTGCTAATGATGCACAAAGTCCAAGAGAGACTTGAAAATCTACCCGAGGTGGGCGTGTGACTATCTTTTACAAGCTGTTGGAGACGCGTATCTCGTTTTACTAGCTCTACTTCTGGAAGCAGAAGGCTTACACAGAAGGCATTTTTGGCTGATGCTGCCTTCTAGCAATCCATCATTTAATCCTTGGATGAGCGAGATCCTTATTTTTGTTGCATTCATCACCTAAAAGGAAAGAGAGAGAGAGAACGACCAATGACAACACAACCTGGTCTGTGAGAAAGAACTGTTTACACTTCTTAGATATTCCTGACAGAAGCTAAACACTAGAAAAAAGCGATTGACTAAAATACAACAACTACAGAGCCTTGGCAAAATTCATCATTTATGAATAATGATAACATTAGCAAACAAGATGCCTTTACATTAAAGATTAACAGGATTTGCAAGTAATGGCCTAGAAGAATCTTGACCTTCGGTGTCATTGGCTGAAGTTGTGATCTATGTGGGATTTTTAAAAAAAGTTTGGGACTATAATGTCTGATTATTATTAGTTTTGATAAATGATCTCTGCTTCCATTAAGATCTAGCAATATCTCAACTAGATGTGTAGCAATAGCAGTTAGACTTATATACCGCTTCATAGGGCTTTCAGCCATCTCTAAGAGGTTTACAGAGTCAGCATATTGCCCCCAACAATCCGGGTCCTCATTTTACCCACCTCGGAAGGATGGAAGGCTGAGTCAACCCTGAGCCGGTGGGATTTGAACAGCAGAACTGCAGAACTGCAGTCAGCTGAAGTAGCCTGCAGTGCGCCACCTTGGCTCCTATGTATATGTGTGTATGTAAAAGGATTGGATATTCAAAATTGTTTGGCTGCTTTTTATACATCTTGTCCAAGAACTTGATGTTCAATGGCTCCTGCCAATTTCATGAAAATCTTCCAAGGCAGGATAAAGATTCTGTTTCCCCAACCCAGTTCTGAGACCCAACCATGACTCTCCAAGATGCCTTTGTATTTGAGGCTGTGAGTTATGTGAGGGTGAAGGTTTGCTCTCCGAACTTGTGGGTTGGTTTCCGAATACTTTGCTACCATGCTAGGTAACATCTTCAGTGGAGTTTTGGGGGTTCCCCTACTCCTCTGAAGATGTTACCTAGCCAGGTAATGAAACGTTTGGAAACCAACCCACAAGCTCGGAGAACCAAACTTTTATCCTCATCTTACACCCGAGCCATAGATATTCGCCGCTATTGTGTTTTGTGTTTCAAAAACAAAATCTTCCATAGCAATTCAGAGTCTTCCTTAATGATCATGTACCGTATTTTTCAGAGTATTAAGATTCACTGTTTTCCCTCAAAAAAGAGGGTGGAAATCTGGGTGCATCTTATACACTGAATACAGCATTTTTGGCCTCCCAAAACCCTGCCCCCTTTGCAAAAATGGCCATGCATAGCCTTTAGGAGGCTTCCAGAGTACTCCTGGGAGCTGGGGAGGGAAAAAAGAAGGGGAAAATGGGCCGGGTTTTGCTTGTTTTTGCCCCCCCCCCCAGCCCCCAGGAGCACTCTATAAGCCCCCTAAAGACTATGCATGCCCTTTTTTGATAAAATACAGGCCTGTTTTCGCGAAAAATGGGCAGTTTTTGGGAGGTCGGCAGAGCGCAAAAACTTTTTTATTTGCCTCTTTAAAATCTTGGTGTGTCTTATACTCCGGTGCGTCTTATACTCTGAAAAATACGGTATATTTTCTGGATGACTTTGGAGGAATATTGGCTTTGCAAATCTGTATTTTGAGATGCTGTGTAATTTATGCCAAACAGACAAGTTTCTGTAGCTATGCTAGTAATGGAGACATCAAACAACTCTTCTTTTGATTTCATCCACTTCTCAACACACGTTGCTGCTCTTATAAGCTTTACATTTATCATTTATCGTCATCAGTATCTGAAGCATGTTTCTCTCCCCCTACCCCCAAGTCTACAGTTTTTGAGGCTGGATGTTCTACCATGGTAAGGAATGCTAAGGACAGGATGAGACTCAGGCCCTTGGAGTCCCAAAATATTCCACCCACCTGAGGTTGGAATCGAAAACTTTACCAGGTGATCAACCAAGAATCCAATGCAATGACTAAAACCTAATGTATAATAAACATGTTTACAGTTTCATATGTAAGCAAGGTTATGGTTGCAAATGGACATTCTGTCCTATGCTTGTTGGAAAGTTTACAGACCCAGGAAACATGAAGAGAGAGATTTGTTACCGAAGGAAGCAGGGTAATTATAGAAAAAAGATTCTTAAGTGAATAACAAGAGTTGAAAGGGACCTTGAAGGTCTTCTAGCCCAGCAGTCACCAACTGGTGGTCAGTGAGAAAACTTTGGCGGTATTTGCATTTTTTATATTGCACTAAATCAGGGGTCTTCAAACTACGGCACCTGGCCCGGATACGTGCAATTAATGTTGCTACAGAGAGCCTTCCCCTTAGGGGTCTTTTTGTGTGGGGCGGAGGGGGGCAGAAATTCCAACTTGGGGTCTGCTTCGATCTTGTGGTGCAGGGCTTTGGGCAAAGGCTGGGGGGGAGTGCCGCTGGTGGCAAAGATCTGGAGGGACTTGTTCCAGTGGGACTGCATCATGGCCTGGAACCTGCTGACCATCTCGGCCCGCTGAATCTCCAGGCATCGGTACCTGGCCTTGCATTCTTACAGGTCTTCCTTCTGCTTGGAAGGCCTATGCTGGTAGTCCTCAAGTGCTTCCACCGAGCCTCCTCAGTCAGATTCAATTTCAACTGAGCCAGTTATTTTTTCCAACTTTCTCGTGGTGGCTGCTTCGCTCCAGCAACTGCTTGTGGGCAGGTGAGGAGTAGCTGGGAGGGGAGGGGCAAGTAGAGACTGGCAAGGCGCCCCTCGACATGAGTGACATCGAGTTGGCCATGCCCACCCAGTCACATGACCACCTTGCCGCGCCCACCCTGTCACTAGGCAGATCATATTATGGTCCGCGGGATTTAAAATTATGAATTTAGTGGTTCCTGAGGTCTGAAAGGTTGGTGACCCCTGGACTAGCCCAAGCAGGAAACTTTGTACCATTTCAGACAAACGGCGGTCCAATCTCTTTTTAAATGTGTCCAATCTTGGATCACCCACAACCTCTGGAGTCTGGTAGATGAGGGAATGTGGAAATGTGGGGAGAAGACCCCAAATACCTCCACCTTAACTACATTAGGTATAAGTTGACCTGGAGAAGTTTTGTTTTTTTAAATGAGCTTCCAAGCTTCTGTTATCTTGCTCTATTAGCAATAAAGTGATTTTCTTCAATGTGAAACTTACCGCCATGGATTTGGATTAGAAACCCTCTGGACGGAACATGTAGCAAGTTGGTTAGGACTAAATAGCAATCAAAAATTAGCATTATTTGTTGGATGAAAGCAGCATTAGAAAGTTTTTTCAGACTCCAGATTCTCTTATATTTTTTTATTTCCCTGGATTTAAAATAAACGGGACATTTTAGGGTCCTAGTCTAGGAAAAAGGGTGATCAACCTCCAGCTGTTTCTCCCCCCCACTCACGATTAAACAGGAATTAGCAGAATTCATGTTTTAGAGAAAAACGGTAAGATTTATATCCACCTAGGACTGTGATGGCAAACCTATGGCATGAATGGCAGAGGTGGCATGCAGCACTCTCTCTGTGGGCACGCGAGCTGTCGCCCCAGTTCAGCTCTGCTGCGCATGGACACGCGCCTCCCGCCAGCCAGCTGGTCTTCAGGCTTCTGTCACGCAGGGGGCAGGTGTGTTGCACGTGCATGCACTGCGGGTGGGTGGGTGGTGAGGCACTTGCATGGGGCCTGCGCACCAGGGGTGGGTTCCTGACAGTTCTAACCTCTTCTATAGAAGAGGTTCCACAAATCTACAGTGCTGTTTAGAACCGGTTCCAGCTCCCNTGACGACTGCCCTAACTCAGCAGGCACTAGGTGTCTAGTCCCGAAGTCTCCAAACATGGCAACTTAAACACTTGTGGACTTCAACTCCCAGAATTCCCCAGCCAGGGAGAGTCTAGCCAGCAAGACTCCAGGCTCTGGAGGGAGCAATCTTTTTTTATTATCATGCTACTTGGTCCTCTTTTAAACGGGTGACGCAAATTGGATCTTTCCAAAAATAAATGATTGGCACAGTGTTGAGATACACTCCATAATTAGAGGTTGGTTGCGAATTGTTGGTGATCTGGAAACGAGCAATGTACAGAATGCAAATCGGTTACTTGGGTTACTTAGTATGCAATATTTGTGTTAAACTCTTGTTTTGTTTATGTGGTTTTCCAGTGCATTCCACAACAGAAAAATGACAGTGACTGTGGAGTTTTTGTACTCCAGGTAAGGCAGTAGCTTTTCAAAAGTATCGGGTTTTCCCTTTTTTCAGAATCTGCTGGAACGTTGCCTCTCGTCCCCGTTTCTAAGATGTGTTCCTTCTTGGTTTTTCCCACAGTACTGCAAGTGCCTCGCCTTAGACCAGCCCTTCCAGTTCTCTCAAGAGGACATGCCCAGAGTGCGAAAAAGGATTTACAAGGAACTCTGTGAATGCCGACTAATAGACTAATAGAAAAAGAAGGGGGGAAAAAAGCAGCCCTTGGTATTTTCTGAAGAGTCCCAGCTGGTATTTGTGTACTTGAATTTTCTGAGAAGAAAGAAACTTCCATGAATTTCAAACTAGTCTTGGTGGAATGGTTATAGCCAACAGAATTACCTCAAGCATTTTTTTTTCCTTTCAATCTGTACCCGGTGAACCTACCGCAAAATATTCCCAACGTCAAGGGGGTGGGGTGGGGTTTTATTCTAATGTTCTTTCCTGTATTTAATATTTATTATCTTAACGCATGCGCATAGGCAAAGCATGCGACTAAAAAGCAAAGAGAAGTATAAAACTGTAGAATTGGTGCACCTTTGAAATGTAGCTAGAAGTGACAAGAATAATACAGGTTTAAACGTTTTTTGTCTGAAAACATGAAACATGCATGATCCATTTTTCCAATGCAATAATCTTTGAATGTACACAAAAAGAAAGAAAGAAAAGAGAAGAAAATCCCAATTCCACGAAAAGGATATCCAGAATCTTTTTCTTTTCTTTTCTTTTCTTTTCTTTTTGTAAAAATTATGTTTTCTTCCTAGTCCCTTCCCCGTTAAATTGGGAAGAAAGATAGTTGGAAACTGGACTCTGTATGTAGTTTGTGAAAATCCATTTTAATTGGTCATTTTATTTTTATTTTTATTTTGCCAAGTGGTACTAGATCACAGTCTTCAGACCGTTCGGAAATAATTCTTTGTACCACAAACTCTTTTAGCGCAAATAAAATATGGAGATGCTCGTTCAGTTGGATTTGGCAGTCTTGCTTGTAGATTTACAGAGGAAATGTTGACATTTGATTTCATTTTTAAGCAACATCTGGGTCACGGTGCCTCACCTTCGCAGCTTTAAGATGCGTGGACTTCAACTCCCAGAGTTTCTGAGCCAGCTAATTTGCCATATGTCTTAAAGTTGCCAATGTTGAGATGTAATCAACTGGGTACATCAAGCCACTCAACTATCTCTTGTTCCCTTACCCTATCCTACCTTACTCTACCCTACTCAACCCTATCTTCTCCTACCGTATCCTACTCTACTCCACCCTACCTTACCCTACTATACCCTATCTTACCTGTTGTGACCCCCCTCATCCTACACCAAAGTACACCAAGACAAAAATACTGCAAGGATTTATTAACACACAGACAGGATCTTGGCAGCAATCCAGCACAGACAAGACGTTGGCAGCAATCCAGCACAGACTANGTCTCGAACACACCATCCGTGAATGTGGAGAGGGATGCACACACACAAGGGGGGGGGGGCGACACACAACAGAATAATAATCTCACACTGGATGTGTGTGTGTGTGTGTGTGTGTGTGTGTGCATATGAATGATACAATTTCCCCTCTGAAAGTACCGTTTGGAGGGGCTAATAATGAAGAACGCGGCAGAAGAACAACTTCCTTCTCATTTAAGTATTAAAGGGCAGCAATGAGGCTTTTACGGAAACCAGAAAAACGAAGCGATATTTTGAAGTCTGGGGAAAGGCATTTTTCTTGCCAAGCTTAGTAACAACGGCGCTTTCAGCACACAAAAAGAGGTGCGAGGAAGCTTCGCTGTTGTGTCAATTAGTGGGATATTTAAGGCAGACCTAAATTTGGACGACTTGGAAAGATTACGGAATGTACAAGTTTCTTCCATTAAAAAGCTGACTTAAAAAAAATGAATAAAAATGTGTTTAATCTTCTAAGTCGTTTAATCTTCTTTTCTGCATCCTTCGTTCACTGCACGCGGCCGGTGCTTTTCTAACCCGTCCAAGGCACGCGGGACCGGCTGTACTTTCCAGGGATGGCTAAGCCGTTCTTTGGTCTCGCGCGCTCTCCCGTCCGTCACTTCAACGCTTGCAAAACTATGGGACAATTTCCGAGAAACGGTGCAAATCCAGAGGGCTTGGGAGGAAAGCGGGTCTGAGCGAGGACTCGGGTCCTATTCGAGCAAATGCCGGTTGAAAAGGTGGAAGCAGCCTCGATTTGGGCCGCGTTAGGGAGCCGCTTGCCCTGAAGTCTAAATATCTGCATTAGTAATTCTAAGGGTTTGTGGGTCTTCCTGGAAATTAAGTTCACGCCACGAGTTCCTGGCTTTTGATGTTCACCGGAGAAAAGGAGCGAGAAGACCTCGCCTTCCCCTTTTCTCCTGCGCCGGGAAAGAGCGGCGGCGCTGCCAATGCCCGCCTTGGAGCTGACCGCGCGGCGAGGGGCCGGCTCGGGCGCCTCTGGAATGCGGAGAGCCTCCCTCGCAGGGGGCGCCGGCTCGGCCCGCCTAATCCGGCTGCTTGGCGGCGGGCGAGGTCAGGGCCATCTGTGGCTGGATTAGCCGGCGGGCACGGTCAAGTCCACCGTCCCGGCGGCCTGGGAAGTGGCTCGCCTGCTCCATCCGCGGCCCTAACGGCCAGCCGAGCGCCCTTGAAGGCTCTCTGGCCACCCGGCGTTCGCGCGCGCACTTGTTTAAGCGCTGCGGACGGGGTCTCCGGGCCGTCCCGCCGCTGGTCCTTCAGGGAGCCCTTGCTGGGCTCGAGGCTCGTTCGGACCATCTTCTGCTGGCGGCCCCGGAGCCCCCTCCCCCTCCCCCTGCTGCGCCCTTCCGATCGGCTCATTGCCCTCGGACGGCAAACGAAACAACGCCCCCCCACCCCGCCTGTCCAAGGAGCAGGAAAATGATAAAGATAAACGATTTAGTCCGAACCGAGAGAGCGCCTGACTTTTGCATAACAATAAGGAAAGATTTAACCGGCCAAAATGAATTCAGATTAAACCCTTGGGCCGCCTCCCTTCTGGCCCCGCGGTCGCTAGGGAGGGGGGGGGGATGCTCCGAACGGCGTATTCGGCCATAGGTGTGTGAAAACGAGGGGAAACCTGCTGGTTTTGTTTAGGAGGTAGCAGGACGAGCATTCCTCAGGAATCCTTGCAATACTTTAAGGATCCATTTAATTATTATTATTTTTTAAATAGCGCTTTCAAAATCTCCTTTCCTCATTTGTTTTTTCCTGGGGTGGGGTGGGGGAAACGTCTGCATTGTCATTTTCCCTCAAAATACCAGAGAAACGTTTTTTTTTCTTTCTATAACAAATATAAATCCAGTTAAATTAGTGGTCGTTAATCCAGCCCTATAAATACAAAGTTTATTTCTCTTGCAATATTATTTTCCACGTAAAAATGTCATCATCTCTTAAATATTTGCATTGAAACAGGATACACTGTACAGATAAATTAGCAGAGCAGACTCCTATCTCTAATCTTTATGTTTAAAATTAATTTTTTGAGAAGAAAAATATAGGAGAAATGCTCTCTCTCTACTGAAATATAATTTGAATAATATGGAACCAAAGGAAATCTAGTTTTTAATATGCTGGCAAATATTTTAATAATTTCTAAAGCTAGTATTCATTTCTGGGAATAAAATACAAAAATAAACTGGAGAAAACAAGCTTCACTGTTGCTTTTTAAAAATATAAATTAAGCGTATCAACTGTTTTGACATTTAGTTGCTTCTCTGAATTATCGTGAAAATATGTTGCTGGCGATTTTGTTATTATTTTTGAGCCTCCTGTATTCTACTTGGGATTTTAATCTATTTCAACCTCTTACATAGTATGATCTTCTGCAGTAATATTTAAAATAATGCAAGTAGATTTTTTTACTTTATAGAAACATTCAGGGCTCCTGCTGTTTCACTAGAACTGGATGCCTACGTAGATTTCCTGAAAGTCAAAAGTCAGGTTTAGCAAACCGAGAGGCAGCCAAAATCAGCGCCTCGATTCCGGAGGAAAAAAAGAAGAGGTCGAGGCAGCCATCACCCATCTTGGGCTCCCACCCGGTGGGATCTCCTTCCTCGCTAAAATGGGTGGCCGGCCGGGCAATCGCGGTGCCGAAAGGTGTGGGGACGGGGAAGAGAGAATGTGCCCCATTCCCCAGGAGGAGGAAGGATCAGATACGCCCACCCTTTCCCCCCTGGTGAATGGGAGAACTTCTCGGGGGAAAGAAGAGGCGCGCGTGAATTTCCTCGGATCGGGTCTGTTGCTGTCTGGGTCCTAAAAGCCCCCCCGAGGAAAGCCTTTTCTTCGGGATAATCTTCCCACGTCTTCCCCGGGATTGTGAGGTGCTTTGATTTCTCCTTGGCCGGGGCACCTGCAGAGAGAGCCAACAGCTACTTTGCTGGCAGCTGAGGAATACCCTAACGTTGGGCAAAATGCCAAAAAGCAGGAAGGTTTTGACATTTGTTCCTAAATCAAATTTGGATCCATTTTGGAATCGTCGCTCTCAGGATACAAAGATACAAAATTGTACACACAGCATTAATCTCTCCCCCCCTCCCCCCTTTCCCTCCCTCCCTCTCTCTGTGGGTGTGGGGGGCGGGGCGGGGCCCAAGAATCTGCCTTGCTGACCATTAAGCCGGGGGTGGGGAGGGGGGAGAGGCAGGAAGACCCAACTGGTGCGGCTGACCGCGAGATCTGGAAGCAACGGGCAGCTCTGAGAAGGCAGGCAGGGAAGGGAGAGAGGGAGGAAGGCAGGATTTCCGATTCGCCCCCTTTCTTGGCAGTCTCCGGGTATGCTTCCTCGCCCAGACTGGGGAAAAGCATGTTTTTAAAATGGTCGCGTGAAAAAGAGATAAAAACGGGGGCGAAGGCAAGCGGCCAGTCAGGCAGATGCAGGGAAAGTGCGGGTTTTAGCATCACAATGCGGGATGCATTTTGCTTTTATGATTTGAATATGAAAAGGCTGGACTTTGCTCGTTCCGGCCAAGCCTTTGGCCTTTGTTGTCTTCCAAAACGAGAGAATGGGGAGGGAGGGAGGGAGGGAGGGGGGCGCACACAATGGGATGACCGTGACTTTGAACAGATAAATAAAACATGTGACTCTGCGCCGCTCCGGTCCCGTCCCCCTCGCCCCCCCCCCAGCCTCCTTCCAACTGTGATTAAATTTGCTGTGGTCATTTCCCAAATGTCCTCCTGATAAAAGACCCGCCCTTCGCCTTTTCTCACACCGCGGCTTTGAGGAAAGGCCCTTCCTGTGGTTCCCAATCTGCACTCCTGCCAATCACCGGGCCTTGCGCAGACAAGCATGCCTCTTTCATTAGCAGAAATGCTTCACATTTGATTGCATCACCCCTCCCCCCCAGCCCCCAACTCCAGCTCGCCTCCCTTAATAAAGCGCAGCCGCTCTCACTGTGCAGCTGTAATGGGGTTTCCTGAACGCCCCCCCCCCCGCCCTCAGCCGGCTTCCTTGCAAACTGCCTGGTGTGCAATAGAAAAGAATACATTTTAATAAGCCTTGAGAGGGAAGGAGGGGGGGAGGGAGGGGGGGGGACGAGGTGCTGCTCCGTTCTCTTGTTCTTTGGGAAGAGAAAGAGGCGGCCCCGTTGCAAGTGCGGGGAGGGGAGAGAATTTAATATTGCCAGAGATAATAATAACGATGTTAATATCCGGAATTTTCAGTGTACCATAAGTACATTTTGTTTTTCCTTTTAGCACGATTTATAATTAAAGATTTTAATCTGGCTTCACATTGAGTTAATAAGCCCTTTGATTGATTAGGAATCATAAAATTGCCATTTCCCGCTGCTACTTTGTGTTCGGGAGATGCTCTTTTGAAAAGCCGGGCGAAGGTGACGGGGAGGCGGCCTTTGTTCGGGAGCCGCCCGGTTTCCAGGGCACAAAGCCCCGCCGCTGGGCTCGCAGGTGCGAGGGGCGAGGCCGGCCGGGACGTTCCGGGCAAGGGGAGGAAATGAACCGACGCGCCCTCCCCGAGGAGAGGCCGAGCGGGGCCGGAGCGCGCCCCTCCCCGGCATTCCTCTCCCACCACCACCGGCCGGAGCCGGAGCAGGGGACCCCGAGCACTCCCAAGGCTCCCCGCCCGCCGTCTGCGCCCTTCGGGGACGGACT